CACCTGTGTATGTGCGTTGAACTACTTTCGCACCGTACGTAGCCAACCGTGCTAACTGGAGGTGCGTGGGAAGGACAACAAACTAAACACAAAAAAACTGGCCCAGCATTGGACCGATCATTGACAGAAACAGGCAGGAGAAAAGAAATGGAAACAGCTAACAGCAAAAAAATTACAAGAATCATTCTGCGTACTGTGTTCAACAGACTGAGAAATACACGTTTTAGTGTCTATGGGCTCTTATCTAGTTTAAATAAATAACTGACTCACTGACGGAGAGAGAGCGACAGACATTGAGGCAGACAGACTGACAGCGGCAGACAGAGACAGATGGAGATTCTGAGAGAGACAGCCGCACAAAGTTAACTTTCAATGACTTTTGCTCATGAACGAGTCATCGTCGTCACTACGTTGGGTTGAAGTAGGACGACAATTGGTAAACCGCTAACTGAAGAGATAGAGAGAGTGGAAGCACCAACGTGTTTTATGAATCCCCTAAAGGTAAATATTTCTCCATCACGACATTGATTTCGCTCTCGATTTGAAGCCCAGACAATTCCCCGTGTCCCGTGCGGCGATCACGATCAAGGGTCGGGCGATCGACGCTGAACCGCGACGGGGTGGGGTCGCCCACGCTTCGGCCACGGCCTCTGTCAAGATTTATTAATAGCTGCACAGATATCAAGATTAAAAGTTCGTAAAACTAATAAACAGGCCGCTCTATTACCACATTGGGCAAGTATATTTACAAGGAAAAAAAATGTTTGTATAAAGTGACGTTTTGTCGGCTCTTTAAGTGCATTGTTACAACAATTGCTGTATCACTCTTTAAATCACAGCTGTCCAAACTTTTATAAACTTTTTCCACCCAGGTCCAAACTTCCACGGACAAGCGAACAACTGCCGGCCACTTCTAAGAGCTACTGTGTTAACCAGTACCGCTGTAAGCGATGGCAGAGAGAGAGAGAGCGAGATGAGCGATGTAACGCACATCTTGACCGTAGATAACAGGGGTTGTGTGTGGGTAATAGGGCTCTGTATTAAACTCTCTTGAGGGTGCCACGGTTAAATCTGCACCCACATTTACACAGAACAAGACACTAACATTGGCTGCGATCAGAATGAGAATGTTTGTTTTGACTGCAGGAGGAATCCGATGAGCTCTAAAGCTCTTTTTCACAGATTTCCAGGAGAGGCATGGGGGTAAGAACGTTACAACAAACAATACAACACACTATAGTAGTGCAAAGGACAAGAAAGGTAAACTAATCACCCAAACACAAACGAATAGACCACTAAACCATCCCAATCCTACCAGGCAAAGCCCACTGAGGTATTCACTTATTTTTTAGAAGCAACATGGCCACAAATGATAGCTCAACAACAAAATGTCCCATCATTTTGGACATTTATAGCAGCAGCAGCAACAACAATATAAGTACTAATGCGGTATAAATTTCCACACGATAAGCCACTTTCGTTAAGCTATCACTTGTGGTCAGGTCGTTTCTGACAAAATAAGTTAATACCTCAGTGGGCTTAACCTGGTTTAAAAAAAATGGTTTAGTTTACTATTTTGTAGTCATTTGTTTACCTTTCCTATGCTTTGCACTATCATAGTTGTTGTGCTGCTTGTTGTTGTAACTTTCTGACCCACTCCTACCAAACATCTGTGAAAAATATCTTTATAGCTCACCGAAAGAACCAAAAAGTAAAGCTTTGTAGCTCGTGGGATTCCTCCAGGATTAATAAATATACTTGATTATAAGCAATTAAAGCGCACCACAAGATGTTGTGCTATACATGAGAACAAAATAACAACATAAATTATTAGAGCAGATATGATTACCTATTTTATATGTACAGTATGTTTTCTGTTTACGAATTATAAAATAGCATTTCTCTTCGTTGCTAAATTGCATTCCCAAATAGAGCATACATACATGGATCATGTAACAGTTTGGAAAAGTAATTATGGTTCCTATTTTTTATACATTTTGAATGCATAATCACCTCAACGATTGCAAAGGCCTAAAAATGATCAATGGCAAACAATTTACCTGTAAAACATGCAAGATGTGTGCATGTGATGTAACGTAGCCTTCAGCCCATTTAAATATAGCAGCGCACTTCGACTGACTTAATATCACGAGCTCGAACACTTAGAGCGGTCTACTTGTGTATGTGGAGCCGAGCGCCGCTGTTGTAACGTCGTGTTTTCTGCCTTCCCAAATGGTCTCAAGCACCATCTGAACACCGGCACCCCCTCCTCATTAACGCGGGGCCACAATCACCATCTGAACACCGGCACCCCCTCCTCATTAACGCGGGGCCACAATCACCATCTGAACACCGGCACCCCCTCCTCATTAACGCGGGGCCACAATCACCATCTGAACACCGGCACCCCCTCCTCATTAACGCGGGGCCACAATCACCATCTGAACACCGGCACCCCCTCCTCATTAACGCGGGGCCACAATCACCATCTGAACACCGGCACCCCCTCCTCATTAACGCGGGGCCACAATCACCATCTGAACACCGGCACCCCCTCCTCATTAACGCGGGGCCACAATCACCATCTGAACACCGGCACCCCCTCCTCATTAACGCGGGGCCACAATCACCATCTGAACACCGGCACCCCCTCCTCATTAACGCGGGGCCACAATCACCATCTGAACACCGGCACCCCCTCCTCATTAACGCGGGGCCACAATCACCATCTGAACACCGGCACCCCCTCCTCATTAACGCGGGGCCACAATCACCACCACCACCACCACCTCCCTCCTGGCTCAACCCGAGCACCATGAGGCCTGGCCTCAATAATGGTCGCATTGAGAACATCGTCGTGACCACCCCGCCATGCCCGCTTCACTCGTCAAACGTTTACGCTCCCTCTCTCTGCCCCAAGCCCCCCCACCTGCCCTGGTAGGATGGACATGCTTTAGTTTGTATTTTGCATGTGTCTGGGTGATGTGTGTGTGTGCACAATTGTCGTGTCGTGGTAAAGTTCTTACCCCGTGCCCCTACCGGACGTCTGTGAAAAAAGAGCTTTGTAGCTCGTCGGATTTCTCCTGCAGTCTAAATCAATGTTCTCGTTCTGCATCCCATGGCTGAGCAGGAATGTCCCGAGCCCTCAGCCGAGCACTCCAGAGCCAGCCACCTCTGACTGTCATGTGTTTGTGCTTTCCCCCCACGACCGAGCGGCTCCGATGAGCACGAAAGAAGTTCAACATGCGTACGTAGGGCGAGGCCCAGTGCCGGATTATCCGAGTAGCAAGAGTAGCTAAATGCTTTCAAGCTTATCAATTCCGGTTCAGTGATTCTGCACTTGCTCTATTACTATAGTACTATACCGCCTTCAACTTTTATGAACGACTGGGTGTTTAAGGTTAGCGATTTGTCGTGTCTGGCTGTATAGCAAATTAAATCAATACAATTACTTTACTATGCAAGTTAAACATTTGTGTTTTAATCTTTGTTTTTAGGGCCCCTGTATAACATATGCTACTAGTATTCTTGGTTCTTTCGGTAATGTCACGTTAATAAAATATATATATTGTATTATTTTATTGTTTCCCTTCAATGTGACTTTACCGAAAGAACCAAGAATATGAATCACTGCAGTCACGAAAGCTTTAAATCAAAATAAGCTACTAGCTTAATCCGGCACTGGCAAAGGCCCACTCACCGAGCTTAAGATGTTAATGAACAAATACATTTTACCTGCCAAGTTTCCTTGTTTTGCGCGCGTGAAAGTATTTTGGAGTAATAACAATCAGCGTGCACTTAGCGCTTCCCAGGGAGCCGCCGGACCGCCGTTCGCGTGCCGCGTCCTCGTGACACGGCGGGGGGGGGGGGGTCGCTCACTGCGCCCCAGCCACAAATCTCACCACGTGACCCGCACGACGGCCAATCGCAGCTGCCTCCATCTCCCAACGGGCCAACATTCGCAGCTTACGCCTTATAATTAGGGGGGTTTGTTTGTTTTTTAATGCGAAATAAAAATACATTTAAAATACAACAAAAAATCCCACCGTTACGCGTTCGAAGCAAACGCGCAGAATCGTTCCACTCGGGTTTTATATACAGTATAAACTATGTACTGTACAATACAGTATGTTGGCTGTGTGTTCATTCAGTGTTCTCAACGCCGAGAACTCGCTCGCATCATCTTCACGTGGATTCAACTTTTTATTATTCCTCAAAGCCAGATCCTTCGTGAACACTGCGGGCAGTATTTCTGGAAGCCATCACGGTGTGCAGTCCTATAAATAGGCGGCAGAGCTTGGCGTTTACAATCCTTAAGATTCGTCGCATTCTGGATCGAGTTCTTGTCATTATTGCGCTCGCCGCTAAAACGCGTTTAAAATAAATCCCCATTGGTGCCCTGTGCGAAACACTTTTGAGGGAATTGCATGGGAGAGGAAATGGATTCGAATTTCTCACTCTCCGATGGAACAAAAATTTTTTTATCAACCCTCACAAGCGTCGCGTTGTCTGCTCCAGAACGGATATCTTCTGAGCTATTCGGGCTCAGACACGATTGTGTTTCACCGAGAGTGGTTCAAACACAAACAACTCGGCATGCGCACAGTGAAAAAAAACATTTTATAATCGAATTCGTTAATGTGTTATGAGATTCGTGGGTTCATTCAATTCGATGCCTCGGATCCAAAAACATCAGTAGAATATGGCGTTTAGGTTTAAATAATTATCAATCGGTTCAGTGGCTTGGTGGTGCAGTGTCTTGTTGGAGGTGATATGAACCCAATAATCCGACATCGATTCCCGACGTCGGCTAACATCGGTCGCGGGCGATATTCGAACCGGTCCTGAGCATCGCCTGAACGACCCGCGCCGACTGTGGTGGTTCAGTGCGGTGAGCAGCGATCCCCCGAAAGATGTCGAGAAGCCTTCATCCAGAGTTGACTTGATGAGGCCGGACATTACAACGACAAAGTGACCCGAAACATTGTGTAACTGCTGCTTCACCTTAGCTCTGGGCTGGACCCGCACGCGGTACCCAGCCCCCTGCTCCCCTTCCCAGCTCCCTGCTCCCCTCCCAGCCCCCTGCTCCCCTTCCCAGCCCCCTGCTCCCCTTCCCAGCTCCCCCTTCCAGCTCCCTGCTCCCCTTTCCCAGCTCCCCGCTCCCCCTTCCCAGCTCCCCTTCCCAGCTCCCCGCTCCCCCTTCCCAGCTCCCCGCTCCCCCTTCCCAGCTCCCTGCTCCCCTTTCCCAGCTCCCCTTCCCAGATCCCCGCTCCCCCTTCCCAGCTCCCTGCTCCCCTTCCCAGCTCCCTGCTCCCCCTCCCAGCTCCCTGCTCCCCCTTCCCAGCTCCCCTTCCCAGCTCCCCGCGCCCCCTTCCCAGCTCCCTGCTCCCCTTTCCCAGCTCCCCTTCCCAGATCCCCGCTCCCCCTTCCCAGCTCCCCCTTCCAGCTCCCTGCTCCCCTTTTCCAGCTCCCCTTCCCAGATCCCCGCTCCCCCTTCCCCGCTCCCCCTTCCCAGCTCCCTGCCCCCCTTCCCCGCTCCCCTTGCCAGCAGCAGCAGCGAGAGGCTGCTGCTGCTGGCAAGAGGCGACTCGAGGCCGGGCACGGCGTGCTGACCCCAGCAACCGTCTTGCTGATCCTGCGGTCATCCCAACATGCAGCAGCTCGCTCTGCGCGGCTCTACGAGAGGCATGGCCCCTGCACGACTCCCGCCTGTATGGACACAGAAACAACCCGCCGGTACCGTCGCCCATTGTACGTACAGTACGTTGAACTTCTTTCGCACTGTACGCAGGCAACCGTGCTAATCGGACGCGTGGCCGCACGACGCGGCCGCTTCACTCAGTGATGTTGATGAGCATCAATAGTAAATATACATTTTCACAGTTGATAAGCCGTTTGTTTGTGCGCGTGGTCGCGCCAACCACGGCACTCGTTGAAACGGGATGTGACGGACATGCTGTCAAGAGCGGGACTTAAGGGCCCACAGCAGGAGCGAAGAGACGCGAGAAGGAGAAGGGTCGAGGGGGGACGCCGGGCACGACAGGTGCGGGCGAGGCTCACCTGGAGCTCGGGAGGTGCTGAACGCGTCGCGGTCGTCGCTGAGTGGTGGGGCCGCGTCACGTGACCTCCGATGGGCACTCTGCGGATGAGAACGTGGGTCTCTTGGTCAATTGTGACCGAACGTGAAATATAATCTTCGGAAAGCATGCAGCAGCAACAACAATAACAACGCAAAGCCACTTAGTTATTCCCTTGCTCACTCTGCGTTACTGTGAACCTCTCGCCGCGAGCGATGTTCGCTGAAGTTGAAACATCGGAATCGTACGTCCCGCAGCGTTCGTAACAAATGAAATAATTTAAAGCCGTTCGTCGACCTGCCGCATTGACCAATGTAGTGAAGTATGGTCAAGCAATCAAACAAAACTTGAATAGCTGCCAGTGAGATCTTCTATCAAAACTGCTCTAGTGGAGTTGTACACCCCAAGCTGCCACTGCTATTTATTGGTGTAAAATAAAATGTTTCGCTCCGGATGACGCTGCAAAGTATTATCTGTATTTTTATTTAGCGTGCTGATCTTAAAGGTGCATTGAAAAATTTGATACTCCGACTGATGCTTCTGTTGTGGAGTAACTCATGCAGCCAGCTATGGCTCTAGGATTTGCTATTACATGTTATTTATGTAGTTTATTGTAAAAATTCGGTCACAGTCCTTGTGATCACTGTTACGTTGCAATTATGGCTTTATTTTTTGGTGATTTGGAAAACGTTTTTTGGTTTGGACATGTTTGTTTTGTTGTAGTACGGAGTTAGACTGATGGCCTTAATCTAAGTTTTTGTGGTTGTTGTTTGACCTGCATCCCACTGGGATTTTTTGCACACAGCGTTGGTGTACGGTGCTTTTTTCAGGAATATTTTTGCTGGGTTTTTTTCCATGGATTTTCTGTTTGCACAGTCACAGAGTCACTTTAAGATGTTTTTCTTGTTCGTGTTTTTGTTTTTTGTTTGTTGTGGTTGCACCCGATTCAAGAGCCGAATGGCTCACAGGGCTATACTAAAAAATAAACTGAAACTGAAACACTCGAATGGCATTCGCCAAGTAAGTATTGGGTGATCTATTTTTCCCAGTTTTGCTTATGTAAACCAAATGTTAAACCACTCTCCATCTCTCGCCTTGGTATACTCTCCTTCCACTCTGCCACCCCAGTTCGATCACCACCGTCTCCCCCACTCTCCCCCTCTGACTGCCCAGACTTTTGACAGCGAAGAGCAGAAAGATGTGCAATTATTCAGTCGCTTGTCAAACTTCATGAATTTTACGAAATTACAATTTGACAATAATAATGCTGAACTTTGTAATTCACTCATGAGATATAGGTGTCCTTAAACTATATTCGTAAACAATTAATTAAAAGTCGATTTAAACATTCTTCCGTACAGCTGATGATGTAGAGCCAGAGCAACGGCTACAGTTTCTTCACATTCAGGTGGTCAATCCAAGATAACTGTGTCAGGAGCAGCGGAGTAGTGTGCCATCACTGCGATGTCTCCTTCGTATTTGTGGACCGGGCATTGCGTCGTTATACGTTGTACGGTCTGTTATGGATGACCACAGTACCACATTCCTGGAGACGTTTTAATTTTGAACAAAGTATCGTGATTAAAGAGAGGCGGTGATTAAAATGGAATTGGTTAGTGTTCCTCTTCATAGGTAAAACGGTGCTGTGCGAACGGAAACACCGCATTGCATCTCCGCTGGACGTAATAACAATGAGTGGACTGACCACTGTGGTCACCACGGCGAGAATGAGGAATGGATCTTAAATCGCGACCATGAATGATGTCCGTTTGTTTAATCCGGAAAAAAATTGCGTGACCACCTGTTCTGGGTTTGACCTGGACAAAGCAATTACGATACTATATATTGCCTTATGAATTATGTTAAAACATTACAATGTTATACTATTATACCACATGCTATAAACCATACCATTGACCAACGTGTGAAAGGTATTAAGAGGCAGTGCCAGCTGTAATTGTATAGTGAATATACAGCAGTGTGGTATATAGTAGGGTTGATAGAATAAGACATAGTGTAATGTTACAAGTCTAATACTTTATAGTCTAAAGTATAGGGTAGTGTATAGTAACGCATTGTATAATTCAAAGGTGGAATTTTGTCTATGGATATGATATTATACCATGTAGTTTAGATTGGAAGGTAGAATATGGTACTGTATAGTAGTCCAGTTTATAGCAGAGTTACAACGCAACACAGGACAGAGCAGGGCACCTTGGCTGCTCTTTTACCTTCCTTTTCTGTCTGCCCAGCCGCCACCCTCCTCCGATCTGGTGGTGGTGCTGGGTGACATGCTAATTCATGTTAATTCCGCCCACACCGCTTAAAAGACGCGACCCATGCTTAGCAATGTTCACTCAAGCGCTGTCTTCTGGACAGTCCTGTTCATTCACCTGAAGGCTACTTGTGTTGTGGCCGAAACGTCGTGAGAATTTTATTTTATGTTTTATTTTTATTATTTTATTTCCATTCATCGTCACTTTACCGAAAGAACCAAGAAGATTAATCCCTGCAGTCACGAATGCTTTAAATCAAAATATACACGTTTGCTCTAGCATTGAGCGGTTCTGTACTTAGTTTTACATTCTTAATAAAACTAGGCAAATCAGCATTTAGTCTACATTTCCTTTAAAGTCATCTATCAACGTATCCACATTACGGGACCTTTCAGCCAAAGCCAAGGGCTCTCAGCATAATCTCAAGCCACTTTGCTTGATGAAACCAATTGCAAACCCCTCGCTTTTTTAGGGCATGTGACTCAAGCACCATGCCCCTCGGAGTCTGCACTTTCCTTAAAGAGTGCATCAGCTGAATGATGTGGGAGGGGGGGGGGGCGCGGGAGATGGTGAGCGAGAGGGGGCGGTGGGCAATGCCACAGCGGTAAACACACCGAGAAGGAATATGCTGATGCCATAGAAGTCTCCCTGTGCTTAAGATCGCAGTAAATCATTGAGCCAGCACCAACTATGAATACGCGGGATGTCTGGCGACCACTTGAAGTTCATATCGGCTTGCCGGTGCCACTTTCCGCACGGTGCCATACCAGGTTTCGTTTAATAATAATAAACTAGTCAGTCGCTTATTTGCATGCTACAAACGTGCAACATAAGCAAAGCAGGGGGGAAAGATACAAAGCAATACAAAAAAAACGAGAGACAAAGCACACGCGACTTTTCCTGTGTGACTGTGTGCAGTAACACAGCTGTTAAACCTTGTTAAACACAGAGGAGGAAGAGGAGAAGGGTAATACAGAATGTCAAAAGCGAGCTGGCTCGGGGTCACGACCCGCATTCCCACAGGAGCTCACCATCCTACCTGTGGTCACGTGGATTTTTCTTTGAGTCCTCCGGTTTTTCCCCCCACATTTCGAATCAACACGCGTTCAGAGTGCTTGGCTGCTTTACATTTCCACGTGATGAGCCACTTCGTTGAGCTATCACTTGTAGCCAGGTCACTTCTGAAAAAGAGCCATATAGCTCAGTGGGCCTTACATGGCAAAAATAAAAAAACGTTGAAATTGTTTGATTTACCGGGTCTCGCTGGGAATGACGTTTAAAAATATACATATGGGTTAGTTAGTTTAACACATAGGCTTTCGTGATAAATAGCATCCATAATACAGGTTTTTTTGGGTTAGATCGTGTAAATATAAATGTGTCATTAAACCCGACACCACCTGACATAGCCAATGAGTAAGGTTTGGCACGTAAACAGCACGCACCAATTCGTTACTAGGACAGCACACCGGTGTGTTGAAGAGTAAACTCACAACATTTACAATCTGAGTAAAATATAGTTTAATTGCAACATAGGTTATGCAATGCAATGAAAAAGGACATGCAAACTCTATTTTTTTTTTCCTACCGTGCAATTTTAAAATCAACATGGCCAGGCGCACGAGCAAGGCAAATACATATTTGCAAATATAGACTAAAAGATGTAATTCATAATAAACTAAAATTATAGAAGGAAAGCAAACTGCAGACGCAAATTTAAATATAAATTACGTCTATCATATATTCCATTTATCTTTCCAGGTCGTTCTCGTAATGAATAAAAACGCTTCTCGCGATTTTTCAACCTTGAATCCAGAAAATGACCCCAATTGGAATGGTAGCGTTGCCAAAAAAATATTTTGGAAAATGTTTTCTCAGGGTACCCAATGCACAAGATGCAGCAGCCAGGCCACAGATGTCTGCTGATCAGGAAAATACATACCCTTCACCCGAGCTCCAATCGTAGGATAAGAGGCACCTACACACCACGCACTATGATGCTTGCTCTGCAGATATCCGGGCCGTGCAACGTGGTGTGCGCTTTGCGTCACTGCGTTTCAGCGTGACGTCACGGGTACTGCATTACGTCATTGCCTGAGAACATGGCCGTTGATCCCGGACACGAGCCTGCTGTCGTTATTCTTTGAATGTAGAAGACACACGGCCTGCCTGCCCGGGGCCCCGCTTGACAACCTTCCCGAGCGTTAGGACGCCGAAAGACAAACGACTCCGCCTTACAAGCGGCCAGTTCGCACGGCTCACAGAGCCGCGTGAGATCCATAAAGCCAACGACGCACGGCCTCGACGACAAGTGGCCCCGTAAGGTCGACGGCTGCTTATTAGATAATCGCCAAATACCCACGCGGTGGTGATATAACAGTGGGGGTTAGCGCGCAGGTTTTCCAGCCACGGGCAATCACCGCGTACCTCGCTTGGAATAACACAGCGGTCCGCAGCGGAGGCTAACGCGAGCTTCACCCGCTCACTTTTTGTCACTGCTACTACTTCGCCTTCTCCAGGGTTAATTCTATCTGCAGCCTCTCTACTCTTGTCCGCCTTTTGTCCAAATAATTGCTTCGGAGGCGTCAACGCCATCCACGGCTCCGGGATATGTTTACGCTCATCATCCTCGTCATCATCATGAGCCGTGGTCTATCCACTGCAGGGTGAAGGCCTGCCCCAAGCCACCGTCATCTCTCATGATCTTGCGGTGGAATGAAATCCACCCAGCAACCAGCGGACGAAACGATTAACATCGTCTCCTAGGTCAGGGGTCGGCGACCTGTGGCTCCGGAGCCGCACATGGCTCTTTAAGGACCGCTTCGTGACGTTATTTATTAAGGATACACCGTCTCGTGTTCACCGCAGTGCATTGCGGTTCTTTAAATATTAAGTTTTTTTTACCGAATTCGAAAAAAATGCCTTTTCATGTTTTGTTTGGGTCGCCGACCACTGTCCTAGGTGTATCAGCAATGCCGGCCTTGAAGCGCTCCGTGCTGCTGATCGCACAGACAGGCGGCGCAGACAGGCAGCACAGACAGGCGGCCAGCACACAACGCACACTCCACCACTCGTCTCGGCGGCCATAACTCCTTCCAGCAGG